TTGGCTGCCGGGCGCGCTGCTGCCGCTGCATGCGGACAGCGCGGCCACGGCCGGCCCTTGCCGGCCGTCTGGCAATAACTTCCGAACAAACTGACCTCAAATAACATGTCATGACATATGAACTGATTTAATACTGAAAACATGAAGGTTTGCTCAAAGGACTGAACTTTGGCTGCGGCGGACGCACCGTGCACCGCCGACGGTGTTGTGCCGTTTTACGACCGAATCTCATATATCCTCGACAATTCAAACTTAACTGAATGTGATTAATAATCTACTGAATAAATCACATAAAAATGCTCGAGAAAAAGGAACTTAACATACTGAACAAGCGAGTACGGCTCGTGGTGCGCTATGTTCGCAACCACGTCACCTTTGGCCACAACACCGCAAACATGATTAATCATCCGAACACTTAAGTTAAACTAAACATGATTTTGCATATAAAGGCTAAATATGCGAGGATAGTTCGGAGGATTTAACTTAGAACATAACATGATCGGCACGGCTTCTCGCACGGCTTTTACCACACTAACACGCATGCACGTCTAACTGAAAATCGAACTTAATAAACATGATAATCTCGGTCAACAACCGTCGGGAATTACCTTCGATTAAGCCCGAGTGACTACTCTTTTCGAATTCCCGTACTCGGCCGTGACCCTCCTCTTGCGTGCGTGCGGTCTGTGCGCGACGGACTACTACTACACGACAATACTTAAGAATCCTCACACTAACTTATGCACAATACTAATGTTCATCAAGGATTTAGACAGAATACATACTAATGTTCTCATCATCTTCAACAAGCAGTCTGTGCGCGACGGACTACATACTAATGTTCATCAAGGATTTAGACAGAATACCAGATCGCGACCTTCTTAACCGTTGGCTGAAAGCAGCATCTTCAGGTAACGAGTTTAAAAATAAAAAATTAGCTGCAGTACATGGCAACAGTCATCGAAATTGCTATTTAAACAGATTGTGGTCTGATTTTCATTGTTGTGTATCGCTTGTTGAAGATGATGAGAATTAGTTGGCTAGGTTATCTAGAGTTCTCAATGAGGAAAAGAATTACTTGTTGGATGGACGGCAGGATGGGCGTTTAGTCTTAAGCAAAGAAGCAATTATGGAAGATTTTTGCGGTTCAGTTTCAAATCTGGAAGTAAATATCCTTCCTCCAAAGCAAGCAAAGAACAAGGGAAGTGGAAGCACCACAAGAAGCCGATTGTTGTCACAACGAGAAAAGTCAATCTAAGAAAGCCAAAAGCTAAAAAGGCGTTGTGGAAAATACGAAAAAATAGGAAATCATAATAGTAGAACTTGTACTAAGACCAATGAGAATTTTGATTGTAACACATAGTTATTTGATGTTTTCCTATCAGTCTTATATGATGTATAGAGAAATATTAACTCTTCTTTAAATTGCTTTCTTTATATAAATATGCATCTTAGTTACACTAACTATGCATCTTTTATACACTATTTAGGCAACGAAATTACAATAAAATAGCAACATGTATACAGTGAATTCAGTAGATAGTTTTTACATCTTACTTACACTAACTATGCATCAGTTGTACACTATATAGGCAACAGAATTACAATAAATTAGCAACATGTGAATAACCATGCAAGATTCAGTAGTTGGTTTTTTCATCTTTTCAATAAATATGCATCTCTTTAACACTAACTATGAATCTCTTTTACAATATATATGCAACAAATTTATAAAAAAAAAATAGCAACAAATTTACAGTTACCATGCAAGAATTGAGTATCGTTAGCATCTTTTCTATTTATGCATTCCCTCATATCTAAACATAGACTGTATTATAATATACACCCACCCAGTTTATAAGCTAAAGATGCAACTACTAAAATCTAAATATGCAACTTTTTGACCTAAATATGCAAAATACAATAACTTTCCATACACTGATTATAAAAAAGGCATCTCATCAGAAACTTAAAATATCATTAGAAACTTGATTCATTAAATCAACAACATTCAGTTTACATCAAAAACCATTATCATCAACCTATCAACCCACCAACTAAACCATTCATCAAAACATTATCAACATGCTAATAACAAACCATTCATTAAAACATCAACAAAACCATCTTGTCAAAACATTTACACAAAAATTATTGTTCAAAAAACCAACAGATCAACACTTGGATATACCCACAAAGTCCAGCTCCGTTACAGGCTTGCTTTTCTCAAGAAACACACGTGCCTTCTGTTCGTTTTCCTTCTTCAATTCATTGATTTCATTAAGAACAATGTCAGCACAACATCGAATGTGCATTTCCTTGATTTGTTCAGGATTGTCCTTCATCAGCCCGCAATCCCACCCTCTTACACCACCTCCCATGTACGTCTCCATATGACACATAGCGAAGATGCCACAATCAATCTTGTTCTTTTCATCTCGGCAACGAAAATCAAGTCTCATCAGCCTCATTTTTTTCAAGCCTCTGCCATTTCATCACATTTCTTGGATTTCAAGTATCCACTAAATAACTTTCTCTGCAAAAGAACCAAAAAAAAAGAGGTGTTAAACATATAACATAAAAGATGATGACAAAATAACAAGAATGATATTATAAAAACATGAAAGATGATCACTAAATTTGAAGGGCAACTTTGATATTTGGCAATACTAGATCCTCCAACTGACGAATTATCCAAGATGTGATACTGGTTTCTCTTCATATCAAAGCACATGACAAAAAAGTGCTCACTCTTGTAGATGGGAAAGAAAAACTGAAAACAAATAAAATATATACATTATTACCATGATATTAAGTAGATTAAACAAATTGGTTTCATAATAAAAATATAATTACCATATCAACATCTTTAACATGTGGATGAGCCTCAGAACGATTGAATAAAAATTAATATAGATAAGTAGGAAAAGTTACTTAGTCTCATCATCATCTTCAAAAATCCAATCGAAAATAACACTTGGCTCTAAATTAGCAACCAAATGTGTATCCTTCTCTGTGGCCCTCACACTCGATTTTGACCTTTGATACTTTCTTTTCGTAGGTCTTTCTTCTTTTCTTTCATTTTCTTCTTCAACAAACTGAACTTTCTTTTTTCGTTTCAACAATTTTTTTCCTTGATCATCCTTGGCTACCACAGACAGCAACCAAATACAACCTAATACATAACTTATTGATTAAAATAAAATTGCAGTACATAAAAATACAAAATAGAATAAGTAGAAACAACATTTTCACCTTCTCTAACTCCTTCTATTTCTCTTTCTCTATCACAATCTCCTCCTCTTTCCATTTCTCGCTTTCGATCTCCATCTCAATAGTTGCTTCCTGAACATTATCAACAACTGCTTCTTAAACACAAACATGTTGCACAACAATTGTTGATTCAACAGGAACATCAGAAATTGGGACTTCGACAGACACTTCAACAAATGGTTCAGTAGTTGACACTTTCACAAGGACTTCATCAAAAGTTGGAACTTCACCCAAAACATGAGTCTCAGCAGCTGGTTCCTAAACAGTATCAACAGCTGCTTCTTGAACACAATCATGCTGCACAACAACTGTTGATTCAACAGGAACATCAGAAATTGGCTCTTCGACAGACACCTCAACAAATGGTTCGTCAGCAGAAACTTTGAAAGGGACTTCATCCGAAGATGGCTCTTCGACAGACACTTTGAAAGGGACTTCATCAGAAGTTGGCACTCCACCCGAAACATGAGCCTCAGCAGGTGATTCCTCAACAGACACTTCAACACCAACATTAGTAATTGTTCTTTCACCTTGAATCATCAATATTTGGATCTTCGGAAAATTGCTTAGAAATATTAAGAACATCCTCCCAACTCCTGTCACTTTCTTGGGACAACCCCATTCCCAAAGAAAAACTTGGAATATCAGCCATTGTCTTTTCATATTGAGCTCTCTTTTCCATGGCACGCTCAACCTTCTCGATTACTGCAATAGTTTCTGGATTATTCCAGAAAGGATTCATTTCCTCACTGTCTTCATAATCAATTGTAGAAGGTCTTTACGAAGATTCAGGATTCTCAGGATTGGAAGAAATGAGATTCTTGGTTGCTTCATGAATCTTCATGGAATTCCCATCAGTTGTCACCTCCTCAGGTGCATCTTGAAGCAACGAAATCACATCAACAACATCAGTGGCCAAACAAGCATTTTTGCTAAGAAGCTTTGATCTGTACACCTGTTAAATAGACAATATATAAAAAATGGACAATTATAAGAACATAAGCATCCCAATCAACTAAATATGCATCCCAATATGCAATATATAAGAACTAACATGCACAACAGATGAACTAATCATTAACCATAACGAATATGCAACTAATATGACTAAATATACAACTCATATACACTAGATATGCAGCTAATATGAACTAAATATGCAACTCGCATCAACTGAATATGCAACATAGATGCAACTCATATCAACTAAATATGCAACTAATATGAACTAAATATGCAACTCACATCAACTAAATATGCAACTTATATCAACTCATATCAACTGAAAATGCAACTCATATGAACTAAATATGCAACTCACAAGTACTAAATATGCAACTCATATCAACAAAATATGCAACTCATATCAACTAAGTATACAACTCATATAAACTAAATATGCAACTCATATAAACTAAATATGCAACTCGTAAGAACGACATATGCAACTGATATCAACAACATATGCAACAAAAACCAAACAAAGAAATAACAAACCTATACAGGATCATTAGAAACATCCTTTAATTCAGGTTTCTTGAACTACAAAGGCGGAATCTCCTTCGGTTCATCAACAAATCCCCGACCAAAACCACCAACTTTAATTTCTTTAGAGCATTGTCGATGGAGGATATCACAATTCCATCCAACAAACGAAGGCACACTCCTTGGAATAACATCTCGTTCATAAATCACTACACGATCAACATATAAAACCTACGTTTTGACAACAAATAAATAAATAAAAATATCAAAGAATAACAATCTAAACAAATTTGTAAGAAATAATATAGAGATGAATTCTTACCACAAGAAAAAGAACAAAACCATTAAACTGATACTTCTTATTACTCTTGCGTCAATTATCACTCTTTGATATAAGGTTCTGAATTATGTAGTCGCACCACTTGAACTCAAATACAGTTGACAAATCAGAAATAGACTTGAAAAAAAGAGGATTCACATATCCACACTGATTTGTTCCCACAATCAGACAATCTAGAAGAGCAAGAAAATGTAACTTGAACCACTCATCTCTATCAACACTCTCCATCATTTTCTTGCATAAAATGTCGGGAGTAATTTTCTTCTCAACAAATCGACCCCTCCAACTACTCAACAAATCATACTCCTCAGATTTTTTTTTCCTTGATCTGGTCCGACCGCGTCTATTGGTATCGTATATAAGATCACGACAAATGGATAAATGGCTTTGCCAAGGACTGAAACTTCTCAATAGGCTTATCACCATTGGGAAAGCCTAGAACATGCAGAACATCCACAGATGACACATGAACACTTCTTCCTTTCCCAAGATCAAGCTGGCAACTAACAGAATCAAAATTCGACAACAACCAGTGCACCAACTGAGTCTGAAATTCCTTGATTTTGAGATAAAACAGACATCCAAACCCCATCTTCTCAACAGCTATTCGTTGTTGTTGGTTAAAAGATTTCATAGCATCCACTAGGATCTTCGGAGAAGACCGAGTTATCACTTTTGGGAAGGGATTATTAATATCCGACTGACCTTCTGTGCCATCAGTAAGCAAGAGAATATCATCAGCATCTTGTTTAGTTCTTTTACGCTTGGAACTCGTAACGCAAGGCATACTTCAAGAATATTTGTCTCACAATAACACAAAAATAAAATAAATCATATGATATATACTAATAAAAAATAAATGTGCATTATAACTAACTACATATGCAACTCATATGAACTAGATATGCAAAATCACCAATCTAAATATGCAACTCATATGAACTAAATATCCAACAACAACCAACTATATTACAACATTGTAGATCCAAACATGCATAACTGTTCTCCAATGTTGTATAGATAGTGATTAAGTTATGCATGTTTGGATCTACAACGAAATCAGCAAATAAAGAAAAAATACAAGTATTGCGAAGATATACAACCACAAACATAACCTAAAAAATAAAAAACGTCACTGGAAAGTAAATAAAAGAAAATATACTCACCAACTTGCGAGAAATTAGAAGATAACTGAAACAAAACTGAAACCGAAGAACAAATGATGAAAGACGAACGAAAATTAGATCTGCAAAGCTTTGGAAACGAAAGACGATGATGAGAGAGAGCACCGAAAAATGATGATGATGAGAGATAGCGTCGAAAAATGAGAGAATATAGGGAAACGAAAAAACTGCAATGATGAGAGAGAGCAGAGAGCATCGAGAACTGGGAGAAGACGGAAAGTTTCGAATGACGGGACAGCCTCTCAAAAACCGCGAAAAAAATAATATATTTAAGAGGCTGTTACTGACCGTCAGATTGAGCGAGAAATAAACGGTTGAGATCTGGTCTCACGTACACACTTTAAATATGTGTACTCATTGGATCCAATC